AACTTGATGAAGAGCAACTTGATGGAGAGCAACTTGATGGAGAGCAACTTGATAAAACAAGCAATACTATTCAAAAACCGGCACAATTACAAAAAAATCATGAAGCGAGCGTTGAAGTGGTAATACCAAGTAAAAGGGTAAGTCAGTATATTTTTCATGTATATAATATATGTTATGTATTTTAATGTTATACAACCTTCGTAAATTTGTTTTGCAGAAAGAATTATCATCAGAGGTGGATGAACCTTTTCAAGATTTCGTTACAAGTAGTAACCAAAACGAAACAGCCAATGATGGTGATCAAAATGAAACCGATAATGAGGTTGTACCTATGTCAAGTAGATTATACAGTTATCATCAAGATCTAATTGTTATGGTTCTACTTTAAATCACAGGATTCTGTCTTCGCATTTTATAATAATGATTATTCAGATTTTATACCAAGGTATTAATTTTTATTTCAAATAAAATGTCTATATTATTTTATGATATATCATGGATAAAAAAAAAAATAAATAAAATAAGTAAAAAGCAAAATAAAAAAAAATTAAAAAAAAACAAATTAAAATAAATAATAAAAAAAAATTATTCTTAAGGTTTTATTTCATTTTATAATTTAAGTGATATCGAATATCAGAGCCCTCAACCATCGGTAATACCATTACAACTCGAGTATTTTTGTAAATTTTTTGAAAAAATGGATGAAAACCGTAAATGGATTTTAGAATCCGGAAAATGTGTCGAAAATACTATTTTTAAACACTGTAAAGAATTAAATACTGAGACGTATTTACATTCCTGGATTATTGATCTTGAAGATCAAGATGCAGAAAGGTTATTCACTACAGAAGAGTGGAATGAAATCAAGAGTGAAGCCCCCAAATTGCCTAAAGTAAATCCAACATTTGCCGAATTTATAATGAAATTTGTAGACGTAAGTTGAAGAATGTAAATACTGTATATTAATTTATTTAAAATGCTTATATATTGTAAATTTAGATAAAATCAACAAGTGAATTGCGGCAACTTTTAGAAACAACACCCTTCCGAAATAAAGATGAACCCTATGATCGCCAACAACATTATAATATTGAATGGGTTGAGCTAATCATGAAAGAATTGTGTGTATCTTTTTATTGAAAATATTATGATTTTTTTTTGCTATGGGTGAATACCCTCAGGCACTATTATAAGATTTTAATAACATATGGATTTTATAAAGTCTTATACACTATGAAGATCCTAACGAACCATTAAAAAAGTCGCATCTTGAGTCTTGGTACGATATTAATGTATGGTCATTTATTGTTGATCATGGTCTTCGCAATATAGATGGAATGGAAATAGTAAGGTAAGGCTTCTATAATTCTACAATTATCTTTACATTTTTAAAAACTTTTTATTTTTTTTATAGAAAGGAATCATCAAGTC